CAGTGTTTTCCCCAGGCTCAGAGGCAAGCATGGCGGTCTAATTTGCATGCTAATTTGCATACTAATTTGCATATTTTTCAGGATTCACTCTCACAAAAACAAACATACAAGACAGTATTAAAATGTATGAGAGACTTTATTTAAATTACATAATACTTTACATAATATACCATAATTTGACAAGATCGTCATTTAATGTGAACTGTTCCATAAAACTTAGTCTAAACTAATCCTTCTGACTTTGTTGTGCTCCAAACATTGGCTGCCTTACTGTAGTTAAACTCGATCGTCATAGACTTGCACGGGACTTTGTTCCATAAAGAAGATCCACTCTTTGCAATCATGTTGTGCTTTGCCAAAGTTTGGGCATTAACTGCACAACATTCCTAGTGGGAAAAAATGATAAATGTAAACATAACGATTGAATTTATTGTGCCACGATCGGGAACCCAGTGCCGTATGGATAGCATTTCATCTGCAAAACATGTTGTTTAGATGTTGGTTTTGTCAGGTCAACGACAAGGAGACTCGGGAATTTCGAGGAAAAAAAACATGAGGTCACTATTCAATTAAAATTAAAACGTAACGATAGAATTATGTATACAAATCAGGATTCCATCAATCATAGCGCGTGATGATAGCAGCTGTCGTTCGCAAGACGTTGACAGGCCACCATTTTGGAAATACCTACACAGGTCAACATGTGACCGCAGTGTTCTCCACAATCCAAATTAGCTGGTGGGCGGCCTAATTAGCATAAATTTGCATATCAATTTGCATATCATTTACATACAGCATTCTCGCATTTATGACATGAACTGCAATACACACTAAGTTATTTACTATTCTCTTTTTAATTTAATTTAATTGGAACATGTTACAATTTTTTGAAATACAAACAGATTAATCACTATCAATATTTACGAAATGCAAAAAGTTTGAAATCAGTGATTTATGCGTTCGCAAATTATTCTGCGTTCATGAAATGCAATTCGAGTAACCAAGAGCAAGTACAAAACATAATTGAGTTATAATGTAGAAAATATACGAGATGATTTGCCCACGAAGCCAAAACGGACAATTTGTCATAACATTTTTATTTGTGGCATCAGTACTCACCCGTGCCGACGGACGGTAAGATGCATTTACGCATGTACGGCCACGATACGTTGCGTTTTCACACATTGTTTTGA